TCATCCTCATCCTCATCCTCATCCTCATCCTCATCCTCATCCTCATCCTCCTCATCATCCTCATCATCCTCATCCTCATCCTCCTCATCATCATCATCATCCTCATCCTCCTCATCCTCATCCTCATCATCCTCATCCTCATCATCATCATCACCACCATCATCATCATCATCCCATTCTTCCGTTGATGTTACATTCTTTTTCAAGATCCTTGCGGCCTTTGGCGCAGCACCAGCAGGTGCTCGATGTCGGTGCTGGCACCGCACCCTGCAAGCCCTTCATTCGGTCCTTGGGCTACACATACACAGCGCAGGTGCGATTTTTTGATGGTGACGTGGCTGTGGCGAGATGTGGTGAAATTAGGCACGTGCCAAGCGCGGAAATTGTTCCATGTCCTGGGCGATAATCCTTGTGAACAAAGGGGTTTGACCAGTGGTTTGACCATGGGGTCTCGAACACAGAACACGTTGGCCCATGTTGCGTACGGTACGTGGTCTCAGCGAGAGCCTTGGAACACATCCCAGTACGGGCAGCAGTGAAAATAGGCTACACTGTAGCTACACCCCTCATCTCTCTCAAACATACATGGACCGCTGCAATAGACTCAATACGATGTTCAGTTTTTATTCTAATGAGTGGCCTATACAGGGACATTGCAGCTAACAATGGCCAGGGATAGGGAAGATGCTGACATGTCAAAAGCTCGATCCAGATCAACCTCGCTTCGTAGAGCCTGTTTGTTGCATCATCCAAGATATGAACACGTTAGTTGCTTGGGGGATCCCAAGTTCAGGTTTCCTCAAGTGTTTCGACTCATCCAAGCTCACCCCGAAAGATGTGTTTTCCCGTTTCAAATGCCAGTTTTTGACGCGTAGGATGCGATGGAATACGCTGGCGCGGAAGGCATGGCTGGGTCTGTGTTCCTGTATCTCGGTTGCCTTCGCTGACCTGTTTCTTGTTTCATCACAAGGTCTCAAGTTGTCAAAGTTTCAGCTTGACTCAATCATCTTCACCAAAACCCACCGAAGCAAATTGAAGCAATCTTGGTTGTTTTATCGTCCTATTCAGACTGAATCAAGGCATGGCTATGCGGACATCGATGTGGTGTCGGATATCACTGCGATGCCTTTACCCAACAACTCCTTCGATGTGATCATTTGTACTGATGTACTGGAGCATGTGCTTTTTCCACGAGAGGCGGTGCATGAAATTGGACGGCTTCTGAAGAGCCATGACGACCCAAGAGCCACGAAACGCTCCGCTTCGATTCGCGTACACCGGCCGGGGGTCCAATCTGGGGTCGCTGAATCCCGGGCCCGATCCAATGGGAATCCAGTTGGTGGACGCTCCACTCGTTTCGTCAAACTACACTCCATGAAACAATTCATGGTGAAGTGGATGGTGTGCCCCCTTGGATGACTGTTTCCTTCTAAACCGGTGGTGAAATCCACTTCGATTGCAGGGAGCAGAAGTCAACCTCGATTGCAGGGAGCAGAAGTCAACCCAGAACCCACCATGTTCACGGAAACCAATGGATGACACCGATGACACCTGCTAATCCAACACCGTTTGGCACGTCTCGCACGTCTAACTTTGGAGTCCGAGACACGGGCGCAAAGTGCGGACGAAAGGGCCAATGGCAGCTAGGATCCCGTCCCAAATCCAAAAGGCTTAGGCTTAGACCTTTGGCATTACCTGGTGGCTTCGATTGCTATCAGAGAACAATGAAAAAGCAGAAACCTCCTAACATGCTCAATTGGACCACCTTCTTTGCATGGCGAAACAGCTCCAGGCCGACCGGGAGGGTGTTTCTTGATTGCTCAACAGTCGACTCAGATGTCGACTCTGTCTACAATGGATTCCGGAGGTGAGGTTGGATTCCTGGAAGGGGAGCCACCCGGCCCGGGCCACTGAAGAGTGGATTGATGGGATGTATGTGGATTTATGAACACCAAGGACTGGAGGAATGGCCTTTTTTCAAGTTCCTTTCGGAGGACTTGCCGTGACTGCCGGTCAGCACGATTTTTCTTGGCTCGGGTTCGTTTGAGAGATGGCCTTTCTGGGTTATGATGAGCAGGAGGGTCATTGTACACTCCCTCGTTTAGCAGGTGGTGCGTGACAAGTGTTGTGCTTATTTGTTTAGAGAAAAGGCGACTTGTATTTGTTCTTGCTATGTGGCTGCTGCGGCCAGGAGCCCTCCACAACTTACCGCATCACTACTATGCTGGTTTTACGCATTTGTGGCTCCTTGGACTGCCTTACTTACCTTTTTGAAGGCCTTTGGGCTGATCCACTTGGTCTTCAACAAGTCACCGTTTTTGAGAGAAAAGGACGACCACATGCGATTTGGGCTACCCCTCCGCCTCCACCACCTGTATTGTTCTTGAGAGACACCACGGCCATTTTTGAGCCGTTGTAGCGTGCTCATCAGAGATGCGAGGCCTAGACTAGAAGTAGGAAATCACTTGGTTGCCCACATCTACAAGAACATTGTTCATGTGTGATCATTTTTTAGGTTAAGCCACCCTCAGTGTCACCACTGGAAAAATAAACATGGATATAAATAGCAGATCAAGGGGCATCGGCTGAGCACTTGGCGGCTAAAAAGGTCTTTGCCAGATAGTGTTTCTTGCTGGTGGCGGACACAGACACCAAGAGTCCATAGACTTGTGAAATGATTTCTTGCAAACCCATGTCAGGTTTGAGAACATCTCGGCAGAGATTGGACTGGACCCAGTTCCTTGGCGTATGAAGAATAGTGCTCAAAGTTCTTCACCAACTCCGGACCTGGTGCTTCAATTCGTTCCTGGCACCCGTTTTGGAGCTGGCTTTCTCCCAGCCAATTGCAGTGACAAGCTGGTGCAGCCATGAGCCAATTTGCAAACCCCCTAGTTTCACATGAGAGGGTGTGATCCAACAACAGTCTGCTACAGACTGTTATTTCTTGGGATTGAGAGTGGGATCATGTGGGGGGATTCTGGAAATTGGAACCAGTGTCCTCAAATTACTATGCAAGATGAGAAGAGGTGCCTATACTAATATCATCCTACATCATGTCAGCAAATGGTGGGACCTTCCGCAGAGCAGCACCACATTAACTCTGGACGCAAATCCCAGTTGTGGCAATTGTTTGTTCAAAAATGATTCTATGATTTGTGCAAGGGGTGCTGCAGGGAAGGACATTGTTTTTGGTGCTTGTAAAAACTGCCCCCATGTGTTGCACCCTTTTCGCGATGTTTGATGTATGTCATAGTCAAAGATGTGCAAAATAGGCAGGGTGTTACTCAGGACTCACCGACTCACCTACTCACTCGCGATAAAATATGTGTTTGTCATAATCAAAAATAATGTGCAAAAAAGTGGGAACCCTTCCCCTCCCCATGTGGCCATCACCGATCCAGACAGCTTCCTTGGAGTAGCTGAACGGCTGCATGTCTTCACTTTCAGGTGTGTCACCCACCAGAAGCATCCTCCACACCCAACGGCCGTGTTCTTCACCCCACCCAAAGCATCCACGCGCACGCGCGGCGCGGCTCGAGACCAGCGGCCTACCTCTGAGGCTTGGGGGTATCATTTCGAGACCTTGGGCAAACGAATCCAACGATCCTTGCAATCAGAGGAATGCCTGACGCTCGGATGGACTCGTGTGGGCCGTGACACCTCACTGCGTGGGTCGAGTGAGGGAGCCATGGTAGCGTCACGCGTGTGATGCCCCCCCAAAAAAAAAAAGTGGCAGGGGCACTCTGGCAGGGGGTGACATGGGAGCAGAATGGACACACTTGGTTCGGGGAGAGCGCAGGGAGGTTCCAGAAGAGCAAGTCAGTGTGCAGAAACCACGGCGATGATCGAGAATCCAGTCAACATACATATTTGGTTAGACGTGTATTTTAAGAAATAAAACATGAAAAAACAAAACATATGCCCATAGTTACACATATGCCCATTGTTCTTCCTAGAAGTGTTGTTTTGTCCTTCTAGGATTCCAAATGCTTTGATAGAAGTTATATAAGCATGTCGGACAGTTATGTGAAGATTGTGGATGCATTGTCGGCTTTTGTCAAAGCCAGGTTTGTCAGCACAGAGATTTTCTCCCCGGAGGGTCTTTCTCCGGTCCAGCAAACCCTCGATGACTCCATCGATGAAATTCTGCATGTGTCGATCGCCCATCTCCGTGCTCCAGCTGCCACACCGCTTTCCTCCCACGCTCCCAATTATCCAAGCATTTGACACATGTCACACGGATGTGTGCAACAAATGTTTGTAGTTAATTAATATTAACTATAATTGATGTGTGTGTGTTGAGAAACGAGTAAAACATTTAACATTGCAAACCAAGCACACATTTGTTAGTATAAATCCAGATGTTGGTACAGCGGTAGGTCTTAAAAAAGGAAAAAACATGTGCGTCCAACCATCGTCTTTCTCAGATGAACTCGCAGCTCTGTTTCGCTCCGAGGAGTGGGATCTTCGGCGGCTCCTCCGCAGCCGCCTGGAGACATCATGTGGCCTGGCGTTGGCGAGGTGTGGGCTCGCTCCGCCCCCTTTTTTGGGGGGAGGTGAGGTTTCAGGAAAAAGGAACCCGCCAAGCATGGTGGGACAGATGTATTTGATTGTATGTGTCATGTTTTTTTGTTCTAATTCCCGAAAGCATTGCGAAGGGTTCTTCCGGAAAATCCTTTGAACACTGACACTTCGACACTTACACTTCGACACTCACACTGACACACTTACACTTCGACACTCACACTGACACACACGCACACACACACACACTGGAAGAGCGAAAGCATCCAAGTGCGAAGTATGCCAGGGTCAAAGTATGCAAGTGTGAGTATGCAAGCAAGTGTGAGTATGGAAAATATGGAAAACTAGCACGGGAGATGTCCTAATGAAAAAACATTTCCCCACTTTATAAATTCTCTCTTAAAGGCGGAGTGTGGGACGAACAGCGTCAACCGAAAGTGCAACCCTCTGCGGAGATCGTGCGTGTGGAGTGCGCGAAATGCAGGCGAGAGTGCGATTTGTCCGGTCCGCGCGCAACCCTCTGCGGAGATCGTGCGTGTCGAGTGCGCGAAATGCAGGCGAGAGTGCGATTTGTCCGGTCCGCGCGCAACCCTCTGCGGAGATCGTGCGTGTCGAGTGCGCGAAATGCAGGCGAGAGTGCGATTTGCCGGGTGCCCGCGCAACCCTCTGCGGAGATCGTGCGTGTCGAGTGCGCGAAATGCAGGCGAGAGTGCGATTTGCCGGGTGCCCGCGCAACCCTCTGCGGAGATCGTGCGTGTCGAGTGCGCGAAATGCAGGCGAGAGTGCGATTCGCCGGCTGCCCGCGCAACCCTCTGCGGAGATCGTGCGTGTCGAGTGCGCGGAATGCAGGCGAGAGTGCGATTTGGCGGGTGCCCGCGCAACCCTCTGCGGAGATCGTGCGCGTCGAGTGCGGGAAATGCAGGCGAGAGGTGTGGAGTATCTGGGGAGCTGGGAGATGAGCACTGGTGACTTTGTAGTACAACTGTAGTACGCGGAGTAGCTGGGGAGCTGGAAGCTCAGAACTGGTGACTTTGTAGTACAACTTTAGTACACGGAGGAATCTGTGGAGCTGGAAGCTGAGAACTGGCGACTGCGTAGTACAACTTTAGTACGCGGAGTATAGCTGTGGAGCTGGAAGATGAGAAGTGGCGACTTAGTAATACAACGTTAGTACGCAGAGTAGCTGGGGAGTGGGAAGATGAGAACTGATGAGTGGGTAGTAGGTGAGAACTCGCGACTTTGTAGTACAACTTTAGTACGCGGAGTCGCTGGGGAGCGGGAAGATGAGAACTGGCGAGTGGGTAGTACAACTTGAGGGCGTGGAGTATCTGGGGAGCTGGGAGATGAGCACTGGCGACTTTGTAGTACAACTGTAGTACGCGGAGTAGCTGGGAGCTGGAAGCTCAGAACTGGTGACTTTGTAGTACAACTTTAGTACGCGGAGCAATCTGTGGAGCTGGAAGCTGAGAACTGGCGACTGCGTAGTACAACTTTAGTGCGCGGAGCAGCTGTGGAGCTGGAAGATGAGAACTGGCAACTTGGTAATACAACTTTAGTACGCAGAGTAGCTGGGAAGTGGGAAGATGAGAACTGGCGACTTGGTAGTACAACGTTAGTACGCAGAGTAGCTGGGGAATGGGAAGAGGAGAACTGGCGAGTGGGTAGTAGCTGCGAACTGGCGACGGTGTAGTAACTGTAGTGCGCGGAGTAGCTGGGGAGCTGGAAGATGAGAACTGGCGACTTGGTAGTACAACTAACACGTGCCTTTGATAACAGGCAGTGGAAGCCAGCTTGCTGGCTGCCATTGTCCAGATGGAAAGCCAGCACGCTGGCTACCATCATAGTTGAAGTGGGTAAGCCAGCACGCTGGCTGCCATTGTTGAGATGGCAAAGCCAGCACGCTGGCTACCATCATAGTTGAAGTGGGTAAGCCAGCACGCTGGCTGCCAGCCCAAATGCTCACGACGAGCTGGGCTGTCACCGCTTGGCCGCCGGTGGGGGGTTTGGGAGGCCGCATCGCACACAAACACCCACACACTCCCTCAACTTCCACGAACACACACATACGCAGACTCGTTTCCACACGGACATAGGCACACGCACAGAAACCCACACACTACCTCAACTCACTCGACTTAACACTTCTCACTACACACTTACCGGATAACTCGCACTCTGATTTCCTACGTGATGAAAAATGCTTTCGGGCCACTCGTCGTCTAGTGTGTTTTTTTGGTGGCTTCGGGAAGAAGAACCCGAAATCCTTGTTGGAGGTGATTGACACCTTGCTTGTGACATCTTGTTACTGTAAGTCTGAAAGCACCTGTCCTGATCAGGTGAGGGCAGGGAGTGGTTGACTTTCCTCTTTCTTAAGAAGTACTTAAGGAGTCCATGTCTCCCAGCCACAATGCCATTTGCAGGTAGGGATTCACAGTGTGAAGCTCACCTTTCACCAAGATTCATTGTGACTGGTATCATTTTGTGAGGTTTAATGCAACCTACCCACCGACCCCTGGGAAGCACCTTGATCATCATCTGTCACACGATGGGTGGAGGGTCCAGAGCATGCCCAAGCTGCGATCTGAGCGCAAGGCCTTTTTGGGTTGGAACTGCGGCTCGACCCGAATGGTCCGGGAAGAAGGTCGGTTTGCCAGCCTTGCCCTTCCGAGGTCGTCTCAGATCTGCCCGCGATACTGGAGCACTTGCGAGCCTGCCAGAGCAGCCCCGAAGGCGTGGTCGGAGGGAGGGAGGGGACCTCGGGAGGTGCTTGCAAGGTGGCTTTTCTGGGGAAGTACTGTAGTATTTCTATGTATTTCTATGTATTTCTTCTATGATTTCTTATTGATTTTGGTCTACGTGCAAGTGAGGCTTTCCGGAGATTCTCCTGTTCGGCCCCTTTTCTGCGCCACCGGGCCTTGACCAGCCGGCCCTGTTCTTTCGGGTCATGATGGTCGAGGTTTGCCCAGGTTTTGGCCACTTGAAAATTCTGTGAATTGGCCGATTTTTGCACCTGGCACTTCTCACCACCCTCGAACATGGAGTTCTGCGTGTTTGTTCGTGTGGCCCTTTGCTACGCCCCACTGTTCTTCACGTCGTCGCCCTCGGTGTGGCAGCACCAGGCGCTGTGGATCAGGCGTTCCCCTCAGGGATCCGCGCAGTGCTGGTGAAAAGTGGAGCGCGCAGTGGAGCGCGCGGAAGTGGTGACCGGGTGCTAGAACCTCGCTGAAGGAAGTCACTATATAATTGATTGGGCTTTCAAGCCAACCACTTGGGCGAAGCTCAACCACTTGGGCTGAACTTAAGCCAACAAGTGGTTGGGTTTAAGCCTCCTGAACCCTTATGAGATTGTACTGCATGTTTTTGTTCACTGGGGGCCCTTGCCAAAAGTCTGTTGGTCAATGAGAAAAGGTGTGATCATCTCCAGTGCAGAAGAGTTTCAATCATGAAAAAGTCTGGTGTGAAAACGTAAATGTACGTTTTTGCAGTGAAATGAATGATGTTTTTAAGCCGCACATCCGCTATCACTTCACCAAGTCTTGCAGATGCGCACAATGTCACAGCATATCTGAATCTAAGTACAGACTGCATTTATTCGCCAATCACTTGTTTCCATTGTTATGCCTCACCCAGTACGACCAACTGACGGACATCCTTTCAAAAATATCCTCCAAGTGAAACTGTTGCATAGGAACTAGTCAGACGCCCCACAGACTCCCAGAGCTGCGAAGCCGCGCGCGAGACGGGGCGAACCCAGACGCACCATGGCCCCCCGTTCGCGCCTGGGAGCGCTGGCGGTGCTGGTGGCGCTGGCACTGGCGCCGTGCTTCATTGCGAATGGCAGCGGTGGAAAGGGGCCACGAGCCATGGAACGTGGCAAGGCATGCCGTGTGCTTCGCAAGACACGCTCCAAGTGATGGTGGGAAGAGGGGATGACCAGATTGTTTGTCAGTTGCGCCACATTGTTGTAACTTCTGTGGAGTTTATATCAGGTGTGAGACCATGCTCTTTGGAAAGCACAGCATGGTCCACCAAGCCAGGAAAACGGTTCTCAGCTCAGCTTCGCTTGGTCGTTTGCTACGTCCCAGTCAGCTGGGCCTAAGGGCTTTGTGTGGACCACTACCCACTAGCCACTGTCCTGGACCACTACCCAGTTGACCTGGTTGGAGTGGATGCAACCTGCAAACCCTTTTCGGGGGATGGGGGATGTTGGTAGTGCTGCCATCGAATGGACAAGGCACGGGTGATGCCAACAGGGTTAACCGAGAGAGTCAGACAAGCAGATTTGCATGCTATGCCGGCTATCCCTCCTTCGGCAGATGCCTTCACTTCGAGCCCTGAGACTGGACATGCCAGTTCAGGCAAGGGGTTGGGGGGGCAGGCATGTGTATCATGAAACCTGCTGGAGCTACCAATTACCAACCACTGTGTTCTGAGGGCTGCACTGAGGGATTGAAATCCGACGTGTCAAGACAAGGGTGCGCTCGGCCAAGTGAGGCATTCATCTCGACCGAGAGGAAAATAGGATGAAAAGGGGGGAAGAAATATGAAGTATAAATCCTTATGATGGACACCCTCAATATCCATGCTTGCCTCAATCTCAGAGGAACCCTCTTGCCCTGTCAGTGGTGCTTATACTTCGGCAGTGACCCGCCAATCCTTCGACAGCGAAGTCGCAGGAGGGACAGGACTGGCTAAAAATCACTTGGGGTGTGGGCAGGACAGGGACCTCCCTGCACAAGCTCTATAAATATTGTTATGGGTCATCAGTAGCGCGACGCAGTTTTAACTCGAATTCGCCCCAGGAGATGATCGAGCCAGTGACAGACTTTGCCGGCAACGGATGCCTGGCAGAACATGCCGAATCGTCGAGTCAGCACAAAAAGAGCGATCCCCAGGAAAGATGCGTGATTCTTACCATGTTCATACCTAAATCGAATCATCCCGAATCTATCTAAGTCTATAATATATCTATATGTTTGTCCATGATATATATATATATATAGATAAACTTTTTTTGTGGGGGGGGATATTGCTTGACACAGGTGGACAGAGATAGTCAAGCCAAAATAGATTCCATGTTAATTCATTCAAAGCTGTAAGCCCTAACGAGACCTTGGCAAGCACTAACCTGCAGTATGACCTGAATTTGCACCTTGGAGCAGGATTCCGGCGAATTGCCACAGCCACACCTGAACAGTTTCCAGCGTTTAATCTCGCACAATTACTTCATGAACTTAGTAGAAAACGGCTCATTTTGGACGAAGCTCTTCCACAGGTGCTGATACCCATTTCGACAGCAAGTGTCAAATTCCCTTGTTGATCGATCAAGGATGCCCCTAGAAAGGAATTGGAAAACAAGCAAAAGGATCGATCTCACCTTGGAGAATCAAGATACACAGGCGATGTTCATCGGTGAACATTCGGCGATGTTTTTCTGCACACGTGGATCTTAGCTGATGTGTGCCAAAGATGTCCATTTCTTTTAGAAACATGAGATGGAAACAGGTCGATGACGGTGGATGGTCTGCCAATCTCTTGTTTCCACGAAGGACTCTGACATGACGAGAGTGCCCGGAAGAGAAAAGCGGCAGCTGCACCCAGTGCCTGAGGCACTGCGTTCGTCCTGAACTCCAAGTTGCTGTCCAACTCGGACCCCGCCGAGACGCAACGCTTCGACATTCCCGGTTTCAACCCTGGAGTCTTGGCAGCCCAAAGACTAGTCTTCCGGGATGCTAAATGGATGAAGATGCTACTCTTGGATGTACAATGATGCATAATTAGATATATGCCCCTTGGTGCTAAGCACCATGGTTTGAAGGCAGGAACACGAACATGCCACTTCGACATTCTAACAAAAAGAGGGGAATTGGGCGGTCTCCTGTGTTTCTGTGATACACAGCATGCACAGCATGTCCGTTCCACGTGTCCCACCAATCCGTTTGCCGTGTGCTGCCTGAGGCTTCGTGGTTGATGGTGTCATCAGCACGGAAGCAACTTGACATTATTTTGTAATTACTGTACATGCCTTCTTCTTCGCCCATTCAACAGACCATGCAACTGGGGTATTTTCATACAGACCGTGATGTCTTCAGACACCTGGAAGGAAAACCCGGATGCCCCCGGTCGGTGGACCTCCGACTTGGTCGTCGCCACATCCAATCTGGACGCAGTTTGCGTCGCTATTTTCATCTATTTTCCAAAGCAGGAGGAAGGGAGGTAGAGAGAGGAGGAGGTAGAGAGGTAGAGAGGTTGGTTGGGTTGGGTTGGGTGGGTGGGTTCTTCCGTGCGCACTCGAGGACTGTCAGAAGGTGATCCACATTTCCGAGGAGATTGGTTTCCGGACTCGCTGGAGTCAAGTCGCCCCGCTTGGCACGAGCGGTTTCCGAGTGGGCCGCCGACAGGGGGGGAAGAGATGCAGGTGGAAGTGACAGGGGTGACCTCCGGGATGGAGGTCTCCTTCTTTTTGGATGGGAGGATATGGAGGACCCATTTGTAAGTGGTGTTTGATCTTGTTTGATCGTTCTTTGTTGGGCTTTGGGAACTGCTTGAGAGAGTATTTGTGTGTCCGTGTTTTTTCCAAGACAGCTTGCATGACTCAGACCCCTGGGTTGCACTCAAAGTCCATCCCTTTCGAGGCTCCTGGGTCGCGTGAGGCCGAGGACTCGTTCGCCCGGGGGGCGTCCTCGCCGCCTTTGGAGTGGCCGCGCAAAAAAAGCGCGGACAGATGAGGTAGGGGCCGTGACCTTGTTCATGCCAGAGGACTTCTCCAACCGAATCTTTGAGAGACTGACACTTGGACGCAACATGATGCAACCATTCATTGATGCATTTTTATATAACCGGAGAGTAGAGCAGTTCATGCATCCAAAAGCCCTACCCATTGCAGTGCGGAACACATCAGCCCCCTTTGTTGGATTGGAGCAGGCCAATTCCAACGAGAATCAAGCATCCTGGGTGCCTCAGCCACCAGAAACAGAAACCGGACTAGCTGCTTCTCAGGCACCAGAATAGCCAGTTCTTGCTCATCCGGACCAAACCCTGGTTGGTTGACCATGTTCAGTAGTTCATTTTGGATGGGTCCACCACGAGCCGCCCGCCGTTCCCATGCCCCAGAGCCAACAACTGATGTGCAGCATGTGCCAGAGCCACACGATCTCTCTGCTCCGTGAGGAAGCCCTTCTTGCCCAAGCACTTTGGTGGCCGACCTATTGGCATCCATCGTCGTAGCATGGTCGATGTGGGGCTTTGGAAGGACAAAAAGCGTGTTTTTTGGAAGACTGTTGGAAGCCCTGAAGGCCCCGGTTGAACGGTGAGCTCGGGCTACGGAGCTATGGAGAGACCCAAGACCTAATTCGTTACGAGGCTCCCCCTCAAAAATCCTAAGCGACGTTTCGCAATGGATTTGCTCGTGGGGGGAACCAGTTTGCAATGGCTTTAGATAATTTTAGATCCAAACCAGACATCACTTGGCTGAGCGGACGATTTGTCAAGATGATGTGAACAATTCCATGGCCAAGCCTGGCCAAGCCAGCCCCCTGTGGCTCTATGAGTTTCTGCTGATGCGGCATCCCATTTGAGGGATTTCAAGCACCCTGGGCCCAGTCATCTCTTTGTTAATATTGTTTTCACATGTTTTAATGGACCGAGCAAAGCATCATCATCCTTTTCAAGCTCCTCTGCATCATCCGACAGAAGGTCTCGCTTGCGTGGAGGTATCTCAAGTTTGGCACCCTGCATGAGGCTAACTAACTAATGACGACGCCTTCTGGCGCCTGTGGGTGGCGTGTTACATCTCTCCTGAAACCCCCTGAGGAGGACCATTTCAAGAAAATTGAGTAAAAATGGGGTCGTCAATTTGGACATTAGTTTTTGTTATTTCAAGTACCTGAGTAATAAGAGTTTGTTTCCATCAGCAATCAGGATAAATTGGGATCAATCATCTTAAGCATGAGACACAATGCTCAGAGAGAAGGACTCTCTTCCACGAAATGATTGGACTCAGTCTTGGTGTAAATTCTCTTTGTAGCAACATGGCATGAAAGCTGTGACATTCTCTCTTAAAAAAGTCATAGTCTGCTCTGTCGGTTTTCAAACGGTCCCAATTGGTCAATTCTTTCACCAAAGTGCTCAGCGGGAAAACCTCCATACGCTGCTTTTCACTTCCAGCGGCAAGCCTTCGACAAGTGCACCAGGAACTCTTGTCCCGTGACATCTCCATCAGCTCATCAGCTCTGAGGTTTTTGCGCCAGAGCCATTGGTACACACGGCGTTCCAACGTTGCATTCATGCAACTGACGCCTTTCATTTTTCCTTTTCCTTTTACCTGCTTCGGCATGAAGCGCTTCAGGCTTCCCCAAGCAGCATCGATGCACTGCGTGCCTCCGACTTTACTCAGCTTGGGCCGAGGAGCACGTCGAAGCTGCACTGCGTATTGTCGTTGCTGGTGTGACACCTGAGCCACAGGGATCTTCAGCTTCTTGGCAAAGGTTCGCCAGCTCGGAGCACCATCTGAGTAGATTGCTGTGTTCTTGTCTGCTCCAATGTACTTTGCAAGGCCTGACCTGTCAATCTCCCGAATCGATTCGACAGGCGGCCGAGCCTTGGGAAGAGTAACCTTCGGCGTCATGAACTTCACCACCATCAAGCCACCCCGCTGGATGGCGCCGACGACACGCACATGGACTGGGTAAGACTTCAAACAGGCCCGTTTCTTCTGCTGCAAATCTTGGATCTGGTCCGCGGAGAAGATGTTGTCAGGCTTCACAAAGAAGCGGCCGAGTGATGTGGCATCACACTCGATCTCCTGGCGGGGCCGGATCAACGACATTGCCTTCTTGCCTGCTGCAGCTTCACGCTCCGACAGAACACGCAAGAAGTTGTCCGCCGCGTTGTAAGACACGCCGTGTGCATGCACCAGGTCTGTGGCCACCACAGCTTTGGTATGGGACATGTTTGCGTAGCGCACCAACATCTGGACCAACGTGTCTGGCTCACACTGTAGGCCTGCAAAACAAGACTTCTGCAAAAATGCGTCTCGCATGTTGCACGCATTCCTCGCACACCTCCAATAGAAGTGATCCCTGCGGTCTTTACAAGAAAGACAGTAAGGACCCTTCAATGACTTCTGGCCGCAGTGTCGGCAAACCGAGCTGCTGGAAACGAACCCCTGTTTCAACAGCCACGAGCAAGCTTCTGTCTTTGTCAAAGTCAAAGGAGGAATGACGCTTCCGAGGACTCTTCTCACATTCTGCTTTCTCTCCTTGTTGGATCCGTAGCTCTTGGCTGCTACTTTTCTGTGCTGACCATCCTTGTGAGAATGGCTTCTGTCATCTTTCTTCTTCACGGAACTGCTAGCAGCTTTCGCTTGTTCGGAGCACTTCTTGCGCAAAGCCTGAATGACCTTGGCACCTGGCAGCTTGCATGTCTCCACTCTGTGCCCCCGTTTACCACAGCAACTGCACACAGGTGAAAGCCTCAAGCCATGGACCGAGTGCCCAGAAAGAGGGATTTGTATGGCCCCGTGCGCAATGACTTTTTGGACTACGTGTTCAGGGTGTGATGTTTTTGTGTTTGTTCCAAAGATTTGCAGGACTCATCGTAATCTGTTGAAACGGTTGCAGGAATCATGGTATTCTGTTGAAACAGTTGCAGGAAAATGGAATTCTGTGTAAAAGTTTGGGCTGGTTCTTTTTGTCAAATACGCATTGCTTCTGGGGCTGGTCGTCCTGCGCTCCCCTGCAGGAGACTTGAGGAGCCCAAAGGTGACGTGGAACCCAAAGGACAATCCGTCACACTGTGCATGTCCTGGTCCGGAGACTTCCGTTCGATGAGAACAGTGTTGCCGGCTGTGCTGAGCGACAAAAAATGGAAATCTCTGTGGCTGCGTCTTTTCCTGGGAATCAAGAAGGTCGTTGGATCGAATCTGTTGTCAATCACCAGACAAAATCAGTCTTTAAATTTTCTATACGCGCGTGAAAGTCGCGCCGTGTGCTTGGAATTTCTAGATTCGCTCTGACTCAGTGGCCTCTCAGAGGTGCGATTCAGCGACCCCGGCATCCAGTGTGGTCGCCGGCAGCATACTCTGGAGCACACTCGCAAACAATGTGCGAAAGCTGGCGGCAGCACAAGCGCAAGGGCAGCCACCCACAGATAACATGTATTCAAGATCAGCAGGAGCATCGTAGAGTCCATGGGGAACGTAATCGAAGAAAAGCCTGAGGCCGAAGTCTGCCATCACATGTGCGCCCGGTCCACCCGGTAGGAAAACACAGGCCACCAAGACGCAGGCCACCAAGACACAGGCCACAGAAGTCGAAGAAGTCGTGGTACTTGAAGAAGACACCAAGAGACATAT